AAATAGGAATATAAATATAGTTATATAATATGTGTGTATATATATACATAAACATTTATAGACAGATACAACGTAGATATATTTATATATATAAATATACATACATATATATAATACTATATAAATATATATATATATATATATATATATATGAATGTATGAATATGATAGGCGGTAGCATGATCTTCATACTTTCCTAATTTGAAGCGAACGAATAAATTTCTGTTGGAATACAGAAAAGGGAGAGCGAGCGGAAGGCAGGTACAACAGATATGGTCAGCACGGCACAAAGCACAGGGTGGTCAGACATGGCCCAAGAGTTATACTGGGTGTGGAGACTCAAGAACAACACAGACTAGCTAGTAGCAACACAGAAAAGGGTGCAACGAGGTCAGCCCTGTGCGAGATTGCCAACATGGCCTAACACGGGACCAACAGAGCACCTATGCGGCAGTTGACTACCAACAGCTTCACCACGAAACGCAACCCACCCGGCAGCGGTGAATCCAATCGCACCACTAGAAGCGGTGCTGACAGGTAGTAATACCAAAGGGCGTACGCGTTCATGCAACGCCTAAACCAAGATAGCTACCCCTACATACCACTGTGACGGCCCGTGTGGCTGCTGAGATGGCTTCCTCGAACCGTTTGAGCAGACCCAACACTACCGCCAGGTCGCCTTCCAGCCGAGCCCTCAGCAACACCCCCTCGCCCGAGGTCGCACCTTCACCTGTAGTGGTAAATGACCGTGCACGTACATGAGCACACATCCCACGATCAATCAAGTCTGTGCCGCATGCAATGCAAGGCTGTACAGTAACAACCGGATATAACCATGCTGTGGTGGGGTTTTTTTTGAGCGATCTAGGTTTGCCAGTTGCGCGTTCGGTATTGGTTCACTATTGATGCAAGTAACAACTACACCGAGGGCCCGTTGGCTGGAGATCAATGCCGTGTGACTGATGCAGCCCATTGAGCACAATTGCTGTGGAGGGTGAAGCGCACTCTTCACTCATCCGTTCCATTTCCTAAAGCGGGGCAGATGTCTTGTGACTCAACAGTACAACCGCACGTAGCGCAGAATCCCATTGGATACATCGTACCAAACGCAAACCCTGTGGAACCCAATTAGCCTTGTACAGCGGCAAGCTTCCATAGAAACTTATCACACACACACATATCAACTGGTTCGGTACCCAATGATCTCATTCTCTACACCACACGGTTTCATACGCAAACCCTGTGGGACTTAAGCAGCCTTGCAAAGTGACCAGTTTCCATAGAATCCCATCGCACACACATCAACTGGTTCCAGTGTGCAATACAGGCGAGACCGAGAGCCCCTCCTGCAACGCCACACACCTGCTTCCACGACCTCTCCAGCGCGTTGGTAGGAATACGCTGCCAGTCCCAGCATGGCTTTTACACCTGTGGCCGCGTCTGTGGGGGTACGCAAGGCAGAGAAGCGTATGATATCACAGAGATCAACATCACAGAGATGTATAATATCACAGAGATGAGTGGGAATACAATATTATCATCTGAGAGAAGCGTGTAATATCACTGGAATAGAATAGTATCATCTGCGCAAAGCAGAAAGCGTACAATATCACAGAGATTAATATTACAGATATTTCTAATATCACAGAGATGAGTGGGTATAGAATAGTACCATCTGCACAAAGCAGAGAAGCGTATGATATCACAGAGATTAATATCACAGAGATGAGTGGGAATAGAATGGGATCATCTGCGCAAAGCAGAGAAGCGTACAATATCACAGAGATTAATAACACAGATATTTCTAATGTCACAGCGATGAGTGGATATAGAATAGTACCATCTGCACAGAGCAGAGAAGCGTATGATATCACAGAGATTAACATCACAGAGATGAGTGGGAATAGAATGGTATCATCTGCGCAAAGCAGATAAGCGTATAATATCACAGAGATTATTATCACAGAGATGTATAATATCACAGAGATGAGTGGGAGTAGAAGAGTATCATCTGCACAAAGCAGAGAAGTGTACAATATCACAGAGATGAGTGGGAATAGAAGAGTATCATCTGCGCAAAGCAGAGAAGCGTATAATACCATAGATATGTATAATATCACAGAGATGAGTGGGAATAGATAGTATCATCTGAGCAAAGCAGAGAAGCGTATAATATCAGAGTGATTAATATCACAGAGAATGACAGTATCACAGAGATGAGTGGGAATAGAATAGTATCATCTGCGCAAAGCAGAAAAGCGTGTGATATCACAGAGATGAGAGTATCATCTGCGCGCCCGTTGAGCCGTTGTACGATTGCTTATCGACCAATGGCGGGGTGCGATATCCCTTGACTGACCAATTAGCGATACAAATTAGACGACACCTCGGGTTTAGTACAGAACTGTCAGAGTTTGAGTGAACTGTACTATATCCCAACGCGACAATGTGCATTCATACAGAACGGGCGGAGTGCATCCAACTGAAACACAAACGGTCTCGGCCCATGCGCACAACTGAAATGGACTTTCGCGCGAGAACTGCTCATGCTCAGCTCACTTCCCACCGAATACGCGCCCGGCTTCAGTTGACTAACGCTGTCCTGGGCTGATAGATACTCGTGAGAAACAACATTGTACTATCCCTTTGCGTAAACACAGTGTCACAGTCTATTGGCACCATGGAATATACACAGTTCACACATGCAATAGTACGATACTACTACCTGCAAAGCACAAGGACGGAACGGCTCGGACGCTACCTAGCAACGCAGCGAGCGCTTTCAAGAAAACGTTCCATATGAATTTAGCGGCTTTGTAACATCTAAAACACCCTCAGCTCCTCGAGCACAAAACATACACTGGAAGGCTGGTAGAGTGAGGATACCGCCGGCGCACAAGGCACATACCTGAATGGAAAGCTTGGAACAGAGTCTCAGCGATCTCGACAAGGGGGCAGAGTGTAGTGCTGAAGACGGATTCGCTCGATGCGGATGAGATGTGAAAGAACATGCACAGATCACCTACCATCTTCCAATACGACTGTCAGAGGAGAAACGAGCAACCAAGAGAGTGGTACACAGGACGAGTGTAGGGTATGAGTTTGCATGTGCACTTATCGTACAGTTGCCATATCAGCGATACATTATATATATACATACATGTA